TCACGCGCAGATCATGGCTTTTGGTAAACCTAGAAGCGAACGCTTTAAACCTAGAACTGAATTAACGCCCATGTTTACTGTAGACAGGTGTTTACACGCGTGAGTATGCGTTATCTATATGAAGTGACGGAAAAATAAACAACCTACCATAATTCTCCCCATCCATACTGATACTGATGCTGCTGCAGGCTTCAGTCTCTGAGCTCCTGCTGGTGCAACCGATATCTTCAGTACGTCCGCCCACGCTTGTCTTGATGTATCCCTCCCTAAAGTCTCAACTGTACCAACTGATTCCAAAGCGTTTTTTCCTCTCTTGTATTCCTGCTGAAACTAAATCGGTTGTAGGTTGTGTACAGTTGCGAGGTATGCAAGCAGGGCTTTGAGAACATCTATCCATCCAATCTGAGACCGCACGATCATGGCCCCTCCTTTCAGAGGTGATGTCACGCGCCATAATTTCATTTGTCAGATACTATGCCATTTCATCATTTACATAATTACTGTTGTGAAGAACTAGCACAATTGGCTCAGAAATAAATCTGTCGTTGCACCTGCATGATATCGGTGGCATACATTATTTAGTGAAATATATATTTGAGATCCCATGTTAATATTCAGACTTTTATGACACTGTAAAATGACAGTCCATTCGGAAAGTATTCACACCACTTTACTTTTTCCACATTTTGTTACTTTACAGCTTTATTCTAAAATTGATTAAATTGTTTTTTCCCCCTCATCTACACACATTACCCCATAATGACAAAGCAAAAACAGGTTTTTAGAGATTTTTGCTAATTTATAAATAGAAAAACGGAGATATCACATTTACATAAGTATTCAGACCCTTTACTCAGTACTTTGTTGAAGCACCTTTGGCAGCGATTACAGCCTCGAGTCTTCTTGGGTATGACGATACAAGCTTGGCACACCTGTATTTGGGGAGTTTCTCCCATTCTTCTCTGCAGATCCTCTCAAGCGCTGTCAGGTTGGATGGGGACCTTATGTAGACAGGTGTGTGCCTTTCCAAATCATGTCCAATCGATTGAATATACCCTTCCCCAGATCTGTGCCTCGACATAATCCTGTCTCGGCACTCTATGGACAATTCCTTCAACCTCATGGCTGGTTCTTGCTCTGACATGCACTGTCAACAGTGGGACCTTATATAGACAGTTGTGTGCCTTTCCAAATCATGTCCAATCAATTGAATTTACCACAGGTGGACTCCAATCAAGTTGTAGAAACATCAAGGATGATCAATGGAAACAGGATGCACCGGAGCTCAATTTCGAGTCTCATTGCAAAGGGTCTGAATACTTATGAAAATAAGGCATTTCTGATTTTATTTTTAATAAATTTGCAAACATTTCTAAAAACCTGTTTTCGCTTTGTCATTATGGGGTATTGTGTATGTAGATTGATGAGGGGGAAAAAAGCAATTTAATTCATTTTAGAATAAGGCTGTAATGTAACAAAATGTAGAAAGAGTGAAGGGGTCTGAATACTTTCCGAATGCACTGTAGGAGGCCATGAAACAATTAAAATGCAGTCATATTCCATTCAGGCTTTTGATAGTATTCAATATGAATATAGTCATGTAAACTGACAAATAAGCAAGACAAGACACCTATTCTCACAAAAAGTCTTAACTTTATTGCACCTGTATATCTAATTACATTATTATCCATTTTGGTAAGAGTCACTTTCATTATGAAATGTCTCTCCTTGGTCTGAAAAGGCGGTGCAAAATATAGAACCATCAATGCAAATATGACGTGGATCAGTCACACCAATAGAATGTCCTCTTGTCAGTTTCCTTGAGAATCGAACATGTCCTAAAGTTAATTTCACAGTCAACATTAAACACATTCAATGGAACTGGTGATGACACCTCTCTCGTACTGTATGACACTACAGTAACAAGGTCTCATCGTATGAAACAAACATCTCTCTCACACGCACATATTAACTAACATCCATCTGCAATAAATTATTTTAAGTTTCACAATCCCCCACCAACCCAAATACAACAGATTTCGTCCGTCTATTTTTTATAGCACATTAAAGATGTGAAAAGTGTATATAAATGATTTAACATAATCAATTACCTATACTCTTTAAGCCGACATCTCTAGAATGAAAGTCAATGGGTGGCTAGGTCTATACTAGCGTCGTACGAACCATCCTGATCTCGCGAGCTTGCATTCTGTTTCCGTGTAGCGAATCAGATCAGGATGGTTTGTACGAGGCTAGGTCTACACAGGGATGACGGGGAAAGCATGGGAAACATGAGGTGGACTGTACCATCTTCTACATTGGCAAAGTGGTTTTGTTTAACGACTAATATAATTTATGATCTATTTATCAATCTGTGCCCAGATAAGTGGAAGATCCCAAGTTTTCCTCCCCAAACCCTCCGCCAAATATACTTGTATAAAACAGTATCTACAGGATAAAAATGGTGGAGGTGTGTAATGAAAACGTGGACTTGGCTAGAAGGTTGTTTGGACATGATGAGGGTTGTAAGGTTGGAGGATGGCTGGTTTCCTGAGGTTACACACCCTCAGCTCCAGGTGACCAGTTAGATGGACTGTGTCTGAGAATTGCATAGAGAGAGTTCAGATTGGGACAACGATCAAGTACTAATAGCATATACATCAACTTCAAACTAACAATGCCTGGGGCAACGTATGTAATCTAGCCTGGCCCCAGAGGTTTGTGCTGTACTGCCAACTTTGACAATGACCACAGGAGTTGGCCAGACCGCACAAACAGATCTGGGACCAGCCTACATGTAACTCTTTATCTGGGCTAGAACACACAAACAAATTACTGTTGGTTCATATTGAGGCACGAAATTCATTCAGAAAACACATGATGCACAACACAAAGATGAACTCCACTGGTGATGGAACATTGCTAAACGATGGTCACTAACCCAACTTTTAGTTAGAGACCAAGGACTTTACTTTTTGGGAATAACAAGCAGAAGAGATGAGCAATTAACTCCACTAGAGACCTACTGTAGATGTCTAGGCTTGAAGAACATAGTCCTCACTAGAGACCTACTGTAGATGTCTAGGCTTGAAGAGCATAGTCCTCACTAGAGACCTACTATAGATGGAACTATTTACCAGAAAGGAGAGCAAATGGATTAGAAAGCAGATGAAACAATGATATGTCTAATACATTAAACGTGGATTATATGGTGTTACAAACGGGCAAAGCCTTGCAGTCCCCAACTTGACCTTGGGGTAGAGACATCCTCCTATGTACTTTGCAATTGGCTGATGTAGGGGCAATTCATATTCCAGCATCACTTGGTGTTAATCGACCACGACATTTTCTATTCTGACACATCTACCAAATTACATTATCTTCAGAGCCTTAAAATTTAATTCACCCTCCCCAAAAATAACAAAATCAAAATAAACAGAACTGAATATACTGATATAGGAAACTTCAAATACCACCATCATGCACAAAATAATCAAGAAGATTAAACTAAAGATGGAGGCCTTTTGTCTGCTTGGGACAGGTATGTGAATTTCCCCCCTCCAAATTCATGCTTCTAAAATAACAGTACAATCAGAATATGTAAATATGTCAGCAGCAGCCACAGTGGGTCAGTTTTATCAAGTCCTGTTGAACATACCAAGAAGGCATTATGGCGAAGAAATAAAACAGAATAAGAAAACATAAAATTATAATTCAAACCTAATCTAAAACAGAGGATGGGATTAAAGCAAATCAGTTATCATGGTTTCACGATTTGGGGTCCTGTTCACGTTTTGTATCTTTTAAAAGGTGACTTGGTGATGGTGACGAGCGCGAGATGGTCACCACACGTCTTCACATACAGAATAGGCCATTTGAGTCACGAGAACAACAGTTTTCATAGCATTCACCTCTATTGGCTCACTCTCCTGCAGATTGCCCAGTCTGCAGATCCCTAAGTCTGCAACAGCACCACAGTACAGTACAGGGGTTGTAACCAGTGGTGTAGTGGAGGGTAAACGCATGTAAATCCCTTTTACGCATGTTTTTGTATTTTGCCCGAGCGCTTTCCCACCATTTGCGGAAAAATGCATTGAACGTATAGGGAGCGTTGCTTTACTCAGCAGGAACGGCGATCAGCGTTTACCCACCTATTTTTTTAAACACTAAAATCACTGGTTGCAACGTTTTAGAATGTTCAGATATAAATACATTGTGTAGAACAGAATGATTCTCTATAGGAAGTCATTTCAGCTCTATACATTACTATAATTCAAAGTTCTGAACGTTTCACCCACCTGAACGCAACCCAAGTGTCTCCCTCATAGGTTTCAATACATTTAGCTGATGGGTAAGGGTTATCTAGCATACATTATATGAAATCTCACCTCATCCTTTCACACAGATAAATGCTATATGGTGCATGCCACATCCTTTGATACAGGCTAGAAAATCCCAGAACCGTCCCCTCTTGTAGCCCAACCATGTAAAATGTCCAAATATGAGAATTCATAACATGACTTGTTCTGAATTCATAACATTACATACGGTGTCATGTTATTACCACAGACGGAAGCTCAGCATCATCACAGTATGGTAAATCCATCATATTCCATGAGCAGCTTGAGCACCATTGACTGTGAACAATATTTTTATACCCATCTTAGACAACGGTGTAGAATCAACAGTCAACTCATTGTTTCTGAACCCTGGCTGACGATGGTAACATCACAGCTCGTGTTGGTCACCAGACTCTCAGTCATCGAAGGAAGACTTGAGCTGTAAGATCTATAGTGAAGAGACTAGCACAGATCAAAGATGGTCATTATCTCTCGCCGAAAGGTGTGTTGTTCTGTCAACTGGCCATGGTCTCTCGTATTGCAATCAGGGTATGAACTGCCAAACAGTCAAAAGGGAGTAACATTGTTACAGTGGTGTCACGTGTCGTCACTCCGGTTCGGTTGTACTGTATGTGGCCAAACATCCATTCTGTCTGTCTCTCAGTGACGGTATCCAAAGCCGGTCTTCTTAGCACCGGGTGTGACCGACCACATGCTACGCCGGTCCTGGATCTTCTGGAAGATATTGCCGCTCCTCCTCTTCTCTCGCTTATACTTTTTCATTTTTTTCACCTGTTCATATACACACACACACACACACACACACACACACACACACGAAATGTTAAGACCAGAGGTAAAACGTGCCGGAACCAGTTAGCGGTGCATTCAAAGGCAACGAGAAAGAGTGGGAATAGTTAAGGCAGAAGGAGCCCTTAACCCATGCTTTAGAATGCAGCTAACTGGTTCATTCAGTTTCCACTAGTATTGTTACAAGTTCCTAAAACAAGGCCAGGAGACTCAGGATGTTGCTAAATAACCGGGAAAGAAATTGAAACAGCACCCTAGGTAATTCAAAGATACGCAAAAACTAAAAGTGAACTATTCCTTTAACATAATGTCTTCTGTAGAAAACAATCACTATGTCAAAACAGCTTTAGATGGGCTTGTGTGCCTGTAGGTGCCCTCTCACCTTTCCACTGTCAAAGTCCTCGTCCCACTCGTCGATCACGGTGTCTGTTCTGGCATCACGGGTGTCATCAATGGCATCCCTACTGATGGCAGACGCCTCTCCCTCCCAGCTGAGGACTGGACACACACACACACACACACACCTCAGTCATCACAGCCAAATACAACAATTTCTTGACTTCACTGGAGGTAAAGTGTAACCTTGAGAATGTTTTATCAAGTTCTAGATCTCACCTTGGGTTCCGTAGGCTTTGTCCAAAGAGTTCTTCAGGAGCTCCTCCACCACTCCCCCACTCCTCTTGCCGTCCCAGGCCATGGGGGCTGGGCGGGGCACATCCCCAGGCCCATCCTCTACTGCGGGGGCCTTGGAGCGCTTGTAGCCATCCTTAACCTGGCTGTCCCACACGATCACTCCAGCTATGGTGGGGGGGAGGGAGTAGAGTTAGCACAGGGGTGTATTTTCTGAGGTGAAACATTCACAACCAGAGACAACTAAAACCAGATTTTAAGTATGTAGTAAAGACAATGGACCTATATTGTTTTATATAATATAATCTTTGAGAACTAACAATCACCAACATAAAAGCTAGACAGAGGAAGAATTGAAAATTCCCCCCAAAAATAATTTAGCAGCATTTATTAAGTCTGAGCAAAAGAACAGCATTAACCATGGCAAAATGCATAGAATCACACGAAACTAGCTTTAAAACTGAAACAATTTCTCAGCTCTATGGAGAAATATGTAGAATTGCAGAAAACCGCCGTCATTTATTTTTCCTATACCACCAAGAGGGAGGGCCTCTAAAATGTAGTTACCACACCCCTTTTTGATCCCCCAAAAAACCCTGACAACATTTGCAGATGCAACAAAAAGAGCAAACACAAAACAAAATGTGAGCCCTGGGAAATATAATAATGTATACATAATTTACATAATAATGCAAAACAAGGATAGAGCCTAATCAAGAGATATCGCCCACAGGAGTTCAAGTCCTGAAACCATATTAGGGTATGAGTTTAGAAAAGTTTTCACGAATGGGTTATGCTAAAAACGGAAGGGGTAAAACTGTGGACTGTTGGCTTCGGTCAATGCAGCAGTGTGTGGGCCCACCGGTGCTCTCCACGGTGGCCTTCTTAAGGGGCTCCACTGGTTCCGTGTCGCTCCTCTGGTCGTCAGCGCAACAACGTCTGCTTTCCTCCCACTGTTTCACCTCTTCTTTTAGCCTGCGCTTCTTCTTCTTTAACTTCTTTGGCGCAGTAGAATCCCCAGCACCGTTTTCAACAACCGTGTCCTGCATCCCAGAACTTCTGTAAAAAAAAAAATTATTTTTTTATTTTTTTGCCATGTCAATGTGCAAAAACACTGGACATTTGGTAGTATTTTCTCATATACTTCCCATGCAAGAATCCATATTGGTCAGGGTGGATTTGACCCAGTGATACATTCTATATGTTGCTTTCTATATATTTAGCTAATATCTTGGCATCACAGCATTTAGTTTTTATATACATACACACACACACACACACACACACATACAGTTGAAGTCGGAAGTTTACATACACTTAGGTTGGAGTCATTAAAACTACTTTTTCAACCACTCCACAAATTTCTTGTTAACAAACTATAGTTTTGGCAAGTCGGTTAGGACATCTACTTTGTGCATGACACAAGTAATTTTTCCAACAATTGTTTACAGATTATTTCACTTATAATTCACTGTATCACAATTCCAGTGGGTCAAAATACACTAAATTGACTGTGCCTTTAAACAGCTTGGAAAATTCCAGAAAATGGCTTTAGAAGCTTCTGATAGGCTAATTGACATAATGAGTCAATTGGAGGTGTACCTGTGGATGTATTTCAACGCCTACCTTCAAACTCCGTGCCTCTTTGCTTGACAAAAAACAAAATCAGCCAAGACCTCAGAAAAACAATTGTAGACCTCCACAAGTCTGGTTCATCCTTGGGAGCAATTTCCAAACGCCTGAAGGTACCACGTTCATCTGTACAAACAATAGTACGGAAGTATAAACACCATTGAACCACGCAGCCATCATACCGCTCAGGAAGGAGACGTGTTCCGTCTCCTAGAGATGAGCGTATTTGGTGCGAAAAGTGCAAATCAATCCCAGAACAACAGCAAAAGGACCTTGTGAAGATGCTGGAGGACACAGGTACAAAAGTATCTATATCCACAGTAAATCGAGTCCTATAATCGACATAACCTGAAAGGCCGCTCAGCAAGGAAGAAGCCACTGCTCCAAAACCTCCATAAAAAGCCAGACTACGGTTTGCAACTGCACATGGGACAAACACTGATCCGT